ACCTCCCCCCTCTGACCTGAGGGTGCCTCCCCCCTCTGACCTGCAGGATATGCCCCCGCCGACCTCTGACACCTCTCCTGCCCACAGTGGACACCTCCTGCCTCTGACTTCAGACGCCTCTCCCAGTGACAGGGACACCTCCCCCCTCTGACCTGAGGGTGCCTCCCCCCTCTGACCTGCAGGATATGCCCCCGCCGACCTCTGACACCTCTCCCACCGACAGTGGACACCTCCCCCCTCTGACCTGAGGGTGCCTCCCCCCTCTGACCTGCAGGATATGCCCCCGCCGACCTCTGACACCTCTCCCGCCAACAGTGGACACCTCCCCCCTCTGACCTGAGGGTGCCTCCCCCCTCTGACCTGCAGGATATGCCCCCACCGACCTCTGACACCTCTCCCGCCGACAGTGGACACCTCCCGCCTCTGACCTGAGGGGGCCTCCTCCCCCCTCTGACTACAGACGCCTCTCCCAATGACAGGGACACCTCCCCCCTCGGACCTGAGGGTGCCTCCCCCCTCTGACCTGCAGGATATGCCCCCGCCGACCTCTGACACCTCTCCCGGAGACAGTGGACACCTCCCGCCTCTGACTTCAGACGCCTCTCCCAATGACAGGGACACTTCCCCCCTCTGACCTGAGGGGGCCTCCTCCCCCCTCTGACTACAGACGCCTCTCCCAATGACAGGGACACCTCCCGCCTCTGACCTGAGGGTGCCTCCCCCCTCTGACCTGCAGGATATGCCCCCGCCAACCTCTGACACCTCTCCCGCCGACAGTGGACACCTCCCCCCTCTGACCTGAGGGTGCCTCCCCCCTCTGACCTGCAGGATACGCCCCCGCCGACCTCTGACACCTCTCCCGCCGACAGTGGACACCTCCCCCCTCTGACCTGAGGGTGCCTCCCCCCTCTGACCTGCAGGATATGCCCCCACCGACCTCTGACACCTCTCCCGCCGACAGTGGACACCTCCCCCCTCTGACCTGAGGGTGCCTCCCCCCTCTGACCTGCAGGATACGCCCCCGCCGACCTCTGACACCTCTCCCGCCAACAGTGGACACCTCCCCCCTCTGACCTGAGGGTGCCTCCCCCCTCTGACCTGCAGGATATGCCCCCACCGACCTCTGACACCTCTCCCGCCGACAGTGGACACCTCCCCCCTCTGACCTGAGGGTGCCTCCCCCCTCTGACCTGCAGGATACGCCCCCGCCGACCTCTGACACCTCTCCTGCCCACAGTGGACACCTCCCGCCTCTGACTTCAGACGCCTCTCCCAGTGACAGGGACACCTCCCCCCTCTGATCTGAGGGTGCCTCCCCTCTCTGACTGCAGACACCTCCGCCTCTAACAGTGGACACTTCCCGCCTCTGACCTGAGGGGGCCTCCCCCCTCTGACTACAGACCCCTCTCCCAATGACAGGGACACCTCCCCCCTCTGACCTGAGGGTGCCTCCCCCCTCTGACTACAGACACCTCCGCCTCTCACAGTGGACACTTCCCGCCTCTGACCTGAGGGGGCCTCCCCCCTCTGACTACAGACGCCTCTCCCAATGACAGGGACACCTCCCCCCTCGGACTACAGACACCTCCGCCTCTCACAGTGGACACTTCCCCCCTCTGGCCTGAGGGTGCCTCCCCCCTCTGACTACAGACACCTCCGCCTCTCACAGTGGACACTTCCCACCTCTGACCTGAGGGGGCCTTCCCCCTCTGACTACAGACACCTCCGCCTCTCACAGTGGACACTTCCCACCTCTGACCTGAGGGGGCCTCCCCCCCTCTGACTACAGACACCTCCGCCTCTCACAGTGGACACTTTCCCCCTCTGACCTGAGGGGGCCTCCCCCCTCTGACTACAGACGCCTCTCCCAATGACAGGGACACCTCCCCCCTCGGACCTGAGGGTGCCTCCCCGCTCTGACCTGCAGGATATGCCCCCGCCGACCTCTGACACCTCTCCCACCGACAGTGGACACCTCCCCCCTCTGACCTGAGGGTGCCTCCCCCCTCTGACCTGCAGGATATGCCCCCGCCGACCTCTGACACCTCTCCCGCCAACAGTGGACACCTCCCCCCTCTGACCTGAGGGTGCCTCCCCCCTCTGACCTGCAGGATATGCCCCCGCCGACCTCTGACACCTCTCCCACCGACAGTGGACACCTCCCCCCTCTGACCTGAGGGTGCCTCCCCCCTCTGACCTGCAGGATATGCCCCCGCCGACCTCTGACACCTTTCCCGCCAACAGTGGACACCTCCCCCCTCTGACCTGAGGGTGCCTCCCCCCTCTGACCTGCAGGATATGCCCCCGCCAACCTCTGACACCTCTCCCGCCGACAGTGGACACCTCCCCCCTCTGACCTGAGGGTGCCTCCCCCCTCTGACCTGCAGGATATGCCCCCACCGACCTCTGACACCTCTCCCGCCGACAGTGGACACCTCCCGCCTCTGACCTGAGGGGGCCTCCCCCCTCTGACTACAGACACCTCTACCTCTGACAGTGGACACCTCCCCCCTCTGATTTTCAGTTTGCCTCCCCTCTCTGATACTTGAGCTGGAGCGATAGCACAGCGGCGGTAGGGCATTTGCCTTGCAAGCTGCCTTCCCAGCCGAGCCGGGTTCAATTCCTCCGCCCCTCTCGGAGGGCCCGGCAAGCTACTGAGAGTATCTTGCCCTCTCGGCAAAGCCTGGCAAGCTCCCCGTGATGTATTCAATTTGCCAAACACAGTAACAAGAAGTCTCACAATGGAGACGTTACTGGGCCCCCTTGAGCAAATCGATGAACAACGGGAGGACAGTGCTACAGTGCTCTGATACTTGCTGACCCTTTTCCCTCTGACAGTGGACATGCCCACCCTCTAACCGGTAGGACACCTCCCGCCTCTGACCTACGGACACCTTTTCTCCTGGTAGTGAACACCTGTGCCCTCTGACCTGCAGACACACCCTCTCCTCTGACTTGCACACACCTGCCCTCCGGCTTGGGTGGTTCCACCCAGAGGGACACGTTTTCTCCCAAGGACACGGACGCTGCCCCAAAAGTCCTGCCCGCATAGGCCTCCGCTTTTTGACTGGCACTCCGCTGCTCCTGCAGGCTGCTGTCCCTCAGCCCTTCCTTCTGCCTCTGCCATCTGTCTGGCCTGTTCATGGGGACCTCCCCCCCTCACCCGCTGCACTGTCACCCAGGACGCGGCTTGGGGTTGCGGGAACAGGGCAGGGCCACGCCCCTTCTGCTCTGGGGGGAGAGCCTCCGCCCGCTGCCCCATTGGGGGGTCCCGGGCGGCCCAGAGCTGTGCGGCTGGATAGTGCTTGGTACCACGTGGTTCCTCATCCCTCCTGTCCCGTTAATCTGCTCACAGAAGGTGCTTCTGGCCATCAGGGCGGCCCCGGGCACCCACTGGCCAGCTGGGCCCACGCAGGAGTGTGGCCACTCACCTCTGCTTCCGGCCACCCATCCTGGAAGGGAGGGGCCAGCTGGGGCAAACCTGTTTGTCCCGGGTCTGCCTGTCACACATCCTCCTGGAGCCGGCTCCTGTCCACGGCCGGCGTCCTCTGGGGCCCCAGGATGGGCCGGGAAGGTAACTGCGGGGGCCAGGAACCGGGCCTGAGCCCCTCACCTCACCCCACCCTCAGGCTGGCTGAGGAGTTGTGTGTGTGTTTGTGTGTGTGTGTGTGTGTGTGCATGTGTGCATGCGTGCCTGTGTTGCCTGAGCATGTGTGTGCGCGTGCATGCCTGTGTGTGTGCATGCTTGAGCATGTGTATGTGTGCTTGTGTATGTGTACTTGCATGTGTGTATGTGTGTGCTTTCCGTGTGTGTGTGTGTGTGTGTGTGTGTGCTCGTGGCTGTGCTCACATGCGTGCACTTGCCGTGGAGCCCCCGGGGGCCCTACCCGGTGGGGGCGGCCCTGCGGTGCTGGGAGCTTCTGAAGGGGGCTTGCCACGAGCTGGCTGGACAGCGTGGCCTCTGGTGGGCACTTTGGTTCCGAGTTCCCCGACCCGGTCTGTTCCCGCAGGTGTGAGCCGCGCCCTTAGGCCTTCAGAAACTCCCTCCACTTCCTCCCCCTCCTCCCTAGGTGCCAGGCTGGCCTTTCTCTTTCCCACATTGATCTTTTCTTTTGGTTTCGGGCCGCACCTGGCAGTGTTCAGGGCTTACTCCTGGCAGTGTCAGTGATTGCACCTGGGGGGCTCTGGGGACAGATGTGCCGGGATTGGACCCGGGTCGGCGCCACCCACTGCGCCCCCACCCCGGCCCTTGTCGCTGACCTTCTGCAGGGGCTGGCCAGGCAGCTCCCGGGACAACTCTGGCCTGGGGGTGGGGAAGGCAGGATGGGCTCGTGGCCCTCCTGGTGACACACTGGGATCCCCTCCCCAGTGCCATATGGGTCCCCTGCAACCTGAGGGCCATCCGTTGCCGGCAGGTATCCGAGCCCAGGCTGTGTCCAGGAGCCTCCTGTCACGGGGGCCCTCCTACAGGGCTCAGGTGGGGGCGGGACACTGCTGTCTGCAGGGCCCGACTGGAGTCACCCCCCGACTGGCCAGGCACCCGCGGTCCTCTCGGGGTCCCTCAGCCCCCCCTGGCCATGCCCCTCCCTGAGCTCTCCCGGCTTCAGGGTGCCGGGGGCAGCCACGGGCCGAGGGCTGGGGGCCTGGAGGGTGTGAGCGGGTCCCCCTTGGGCCCAGGAAGGCGTCCTCCCGCCCGCCTGCCCTCAGGGGCCACCCACAGGTTCCAGGAAACCAGCTGCAGTGATGGCTTGTGACTGGGGGGTCCTGTGGCATCCCCACACCTGGCAGTCTGGGGGCTCTGGCCAAACAGTGGCCGAGGAAGCGGGTGGGCCATGTGGCCGGGGAACCAAGCCTCAAGGGAGGGCTGGGGCAGGGCGGCCTCCTGCCCTTGGGAAGGCCAGTCTGGGGCAGGCCAGGGCCCTGGAAGAGGGGCGGGCAGCCCTAGCTCCGCCTGCCGGCTCCCCCAAATGACTGCTCCTCTCCCCTCCCCCTCGCGCCAGGCCCCGCCCGCCCTTCAGGCTGATGCCCACCCAGCCCCACGACCACCGGGAATGGAGTGAGTCTATGAACTCCCTGCGCATCAGTGTGGGGGGCCTTCCTGTGCTGGCGTCCATGACCAAGGCCGCGGACCCCCGCTTCCGGCCCCGCTGGAAGGTCATCCTGCCATCCTTCCTGGGCGTCACGGTGCTTTGGCTGCTCTACGCCCACCGCACACCCCCGGGCCGCGCCCCGGCCACCGGCGGGCATGGCTGGCCACTCAGCTGGCCACCGGGCCCCGCACCGCGCTACAATGACACGTACCCACTGTCAGCACCACAGCGGACGCCGGGGGGCACGCGCTACCGCATTGCGGTCATCGCCGACCTGGACACGGCATCGCGGGCCCACGAGGACAACACCTGGTTCAGCTACCTGAAGAAGGGCCACCTGACCCTGTCTGACAGCGGGGACACCGTGACGGTGGAGTGGGACAAGGATCGTGAGGTCCTGGAGTCTCACCTGGCCGAGAAGGGCCGCGGCATGGAGCTGTCCGAGCTGGTAGTCTTCAATGGCAAGCTCTACTCCGTGGACGACCGCACGGGCGTGGTCTACCGCATCGAGGGCACCACAGCTGTGCCCTGGGTCATCCTGTCCGACGGCGATGGCACGGTGGGCAAAGGTACTTCCTGTGGGACAACCCCTGCTGTTGAACCTCACCTCCCCTCCCCTCGCCTGCCCCAGGCTGGGCCACCATCATTTCCTGTCCGCATGGAGGGACGTGCCCGAGGATTGATTTCGCTCCCTTAAGGGCCGGAGGTAGATTTCAGGTTCCTGCAGTGAGCCCCACACAGGGAAGGGAAGGCCCAGAGTGACCACTGGCAGAACATTCTAGTAGCTGCTCTTGTCTGGGCCGTTGCATCTGGGAGCTGGCAGGAGTCTGCAGGAGCCCAGACAAGGGGGGCTCTGCTGGGAAGTGGCGGGGTCAGGACCAAGGGGGCAACAGGGCACCTCGACCCCACACGGCCCAGCTGATTGCTGCACATGGGCAGAGGCAGCCCGAGTGGGTCATCAGAGTCTGGACTCAAACTCGGGGGGCAAGTTGGGGCCTTCCCAGAGGGCTCGGGGAGGGGACGGAGGGTGGGGTGCCCGTCTGTCCTGCGTGGGGGCTGCTGGCCGGTGTGCCTGGAGGAGATCCACAGGTCACCTGGCTCTCCTGGAGGGATAGCTTGGCCAAGGCCCACCCCTGCCCTGTCGCCCCCTTGGTCCTGACCCCGCCACTGCCTAGCTGGAGGCTTGTGGCTGGTCTTCCAGGCTCAGCGTACTCTGTCCCTGTCCCCAGGCTTCAAGGCGGAGTGGCTGGCCGTGAAGGACGAGCACCTGTACGTGGGTGGCCTGGGCAAGGAGTGGACCACGGGCACCGGGGAGGTGGTGAACGAGAACCCCGAGTGGGTGAAGGTGGTGGACTGCAGTGGCAGCGTGCACCACGAGAACTGGGTGTCCAGCTACAACGCGCTGCGTGCAGCCGCCGGCATCCACCCACCAGGTAACGGCAGGAGGGGGTGGTTGGGGCCGGGCGCTGCCCCACACCTGCCAGGCTCCACCAGGCTCTCCTTCCCCCCGGCCCCCGGGAAGTGGGCAGCAGGATGTGGGGAAGTGCTGACCCAGTCCCTGACCCCGCGGCCCCCGCAGGCTACCTCATCCATGAGGCCGCGTGCTGGAGTGACACGCTGCAGCGCTGGTTCTTCCTGCCACGCCGCGCCAGCCACGAGCGCTACAGCGAGCGGGAGGACGAGCGCCGTGGCACCAACCTGCTGCTGCGTGCCACGCAGGACTTCAGCGGCGTGACCGTCAGCCGCATCGGGGACGTGGTGCCCACGCACGGCTTCTCCTCCTTCAAGTTCATCCCCAACACCGACGACCAGATCATTGTGGCCCTCAAGTCTGAGGAGGATGGTGGCACAGTGGCCACCTACATCACGGCCTTCACACTGGACGGCCGCTTCCTGCTGCCCGAGACCAAGATCGGCAGTGTCAAGTATGAGGGCATCGAGTTCATCTGACCCAGGCTGGACTCCTGTGTGCGCTGCCCCACCCAGGCCCGAGTGGGCACTGCCGCCTGCGCCATGGTTCCCTGTTCAATAAACACTCCCTGAGTTCTGGGGGTGAGCGCTGAGCCCCCTGGAACACAGCCCGCCCTCCTGTCGCCCCCTCTGTGGAACCTCAGGCATTAAGTGACCCCCCCCCCAGCACTGCTCCGCTGCAGGAGGGGGCAAGCTCCTTCAGGGCCCCCAAGTTCTTCTTGGGTGTGGCCGACTTTATTTTCTTCCTTCTGGAAAGTTCCTTGGGCGTGTGACACTGTGAAAGTGTGTTCATGGGGGCGACTTCCCTTCTTAGCGCCACCCTGCGGACTTGCCCCTTGCCCACCAAGGTCCCTGTGGTGGGCCTGTCCTCAGCATACTTGCCGGAAGTGGTCACTCAGAGTGATGGCCACCTGCAGAGTCCTCAGGAGGCTGATGACTGTGTCGTCCTCATCAGATACCAGAAATGTGCCTCCTGGAGCTTCCTGTAAACCTACCAGCTCCAGGGACCCCGGGGGCCCCCAGGCGCAGCCCCCATTGCTCCTGTCCCACCTTGGTTGATCCTGGGTCTCTCCACCATGATCTGGGCTGGAGGGAAGCAGGGCAGGTTGGCAGGACCTTCCCACCTGTCGGCAGCCGGCAGGTCTTGCTGGGTCCGCCTAGTGCCCACCATTAGTGAATCACAGGGATGGAGCAGAGCTGCAGACGGAACGTTCCAGAACTCGCATGCCTGGGCTGGGAGCCTGACACCTCACGCTCCAAGATTTGGGGCCTTCACCCTCACTGGCCCCCCGCCCTGCCCTGTGCAGCCTAGTTCTCCTGTGTCCACTGTCTGGGCCTCCTCGGGGCACAGTCCAGAGCCATTGCAAGGTGTCCTCCAGGCCAGGGAAGCATCCCGGTCACTCCTGGCCCTGGCCTGATCCCTCTCCCAATGAGACCCAGCAGGATTCCCGAGTGGAGAGGGGAACAGCTATGTACCCTGAGCGGGGCAATCCCTTGTCCGGCCTGCAGCCCCCGGCACCCTGGAACTTGGAGCTGAAAGTTTGATTAAATGACGTTTTCAAAGTCTCAAGGGTCAAACTGGGGCTAGGCCTGGGCAACCACCAACCGACTCCTCACACAGGCTTGCACGTCACACACAGGCCCGGTCTTGCTGGACATGGGGAAGTGACCAGCCCCGAGTGAGGCTGCTGCCTCTGTCCAGGGCCCAGGCGGGGGTTGGGAGGCAGGAGCGCAGCAGTGGCTCGAGGCCTGGGCGCCGTATTTCACCACAGGCCCTGAGCTCGACCCCACCCTGCAGTCGGGCTCCAACCACCCCCTGCCCCCAGCCCACCCTCCCCTGGATGTGGCCTCTGGCTGGCTGGGGTGGGGGGAGCCCCGCGTGGGAGCCAGGGGCCAGAGTCGGGATCCTGTGGGTAGATAGGGCATCCCAGTCGTGCCAGCGGTACCTACTGTGGACCCAGCTGCCCCCTCGCCAGCCACATCCCTGCCCACCCTGTCCTGGGGATCTCCCTTCTGGCTGGCAGCGTCCGCGCTGGAGTGTGAGGCCCAGGGAGAGCAGAGCACACGTGCACACCTGCTCCCCACCATCCCCCGTGGGCCCCTAACCCTGTCTGCTCGGTGGCCGCTGGCCAGGCCACATCCTGTGGGCAGCCAATCCTAGGAGCCCCAGCTCAGGTGGTTTCTGAGAAATGAAACTTGGCCTCATTCCTGAGCCCCGGGGGGGCTCAGAGCATCTCGTGCTTCCGCTCAGGGTCACCCTGATGTCTGCTGGTCTGGCGCAGGTAAGCTCCCACCTAGCTGGGTCCCCCGGGCCACAAAGCTGAATCCAGGGGAGGGGGCTGAGCTCGGGGCCTGCATGGCTGGCCCATCGGGGGCCTTGTGAAGGTTGTTGGCTACACAGATGGCAGCCGCAGGGCATGGACTGGGTGGACTTTATACTTTACAGCCTGGACTTTACACCAGCACTGTGGCTCACCTGTGCCAAAGCCCCGTGCCAATCTCTCACATGTCCAAGCCCTTCAATGCCCCCAGGGCGGCCATGTGCCCACTGTGCCCTGGAACTGGGCTGGCCACCTGAGCCCTTCCTGCCTCCCCTGGCACTGAGGCACCTGGGAAAGGGCTGCGGCGCCCGGCGGCCACCTCAGCCTGGCTCCATCTCTCCTGAGCAGCAAGCAGGGTGCCCACAGACCCCACCCTGCAGCCGGCCGCGGGGGTCTCAGCCCACGCCTGTGCAGGTGTTGAGTCTCCAGTGACCCCTGCAGACTTGGTGGGGCAGCCCCAGCGGGGGGCAGGCTGGGGAGAGTCCAGGGCTTGCCCCTGCCACAGGCTGCCCGTTGGCACACCCGGGCACCCGCCCTGCCAGGGCTCCGTGATAATCCTCATGTTTATCTGCCTTGACCAGGGGGCACTGGTACCTGACAGTTGGTCCTTGGTGGGGCGCCCCCCCCTCCCCACACCCCCACCATGGCCACCTCCAGCCCCTCCCACCCTCATAACCTTCAGCCACCCCCAGCTCCTCCCCACACACCTGCCAAGGCTGTGCCCAGCGCTGGCCTGTGCCCGTCCTCCTGCTCAGAGTCCCCCTTCCTGAGGTCGGTCTTGCTCCCGGGTGCTTGGGGGGTCTTCACTCAGGTGTGGCCCTGCAGGGGTGCCCGCAGCTCACCCTTTCCCCCTCTGCTGCAGGGCCAGGGACACCCAGACACGGCCATGGTCCCCGCAAGACTCTTGTGGATCTGCCTGCTGCTGGCAGGGGCCTGGGGTAAGTGGCACCTGGGCCCGCAGAGGACCGCATCGCGCCGAAAGTCTGGGTGGGTTGTCTTACGCCAGGCATGTCCAGCTCTCTCTGAGGCTTCCTCCTCGCAGCCCCCCTGGCCTGCCCCCTACACCCCAGCAGCACCGAGACGGGCTCCCAGGTAGGAGAGGGACCCGCTCTCTCCTTGTGCCTGTCATCTGCCTGCGTTTCTAGGAGCTCCCCGGGCACCCCCCCCCCGCACCTGTCCCAGCAGGCCAGGCCGGTGGCATCCCCAGTGGGTCCAGGGAGCTGAGGGGACAGCGTGGTCAGGGGCCACCCTCGGGAGCTGACCGTCTTGGGGAGGCCAGGACGAAGGCCGCCCGCTGAGCGCTCCCCGGTGCCCGCAGGTACTCAGGATGGGGACGTGCGGCTGGCCGGAGGGAAGCGCGCCAATGAGGGCCGCGTGGAGATCTTCTACCGCGGCCAGTGGGGGACGGTGTGCGACGACCAGTGGGACCTGAGCGACGCCAGTGTGGTGTGCCGCGCGCTGGGCTTCCCCGCCGCCGCGCAGGCTCTGCCCAGGGCAGCCTTCGGCCCAGGTAGGCTAGCGGAGACCCCACACACACCGGGGCCGTCTCGGCCTCAGGGGTGGGGGTGAGGGGCCTTGCCCACAGCTCTGACTCCGGACGCTTATTTTTCTACAACCTCAGCCTCCCGGAGACAGTGTGTATCGGGGGACGGGAGACGCACGGGGACTCAGACCCTGGCCCTGCACGCAGTCGGCGCGGGTTCGGTCCCTGTTCGCTCCTGAACAGCCAGGAGCAAGCCCTGAGCACTGCGAGGAGCAAGCTCTGAGCACTGCCAGCTGTGGCTCCAGGCCCCGCCCCCAGGGCCTCCATGGCACCTTGTGGGGTCTTTGTGGTCGCCTATGCCCGGCTGGGAGGAGGGTGGGCAGCGTGGGCAGGCGGCAGGGGGCGAGGGGGGCACTGTGCCAGTGGCCCGTGCAGAGGTGAGGGAAGAGGCGGGTCTGGGAGGGGTACCTGCGCGGGGGGGCAAGGAGTCTGGTTTAGTTGGGGGGGTGTGGGCGCTGCCGTATGAGCGCGCTCGGAGAGGCGGGGGGGGCGCAGGGAGGGGCGGCACTGGCCCGCGCTCAGGCGCGCCCGTCCGGCTGTGCCCACAGGAAGAGGCCCGATCCTGCTGGACGAGCTGGAGTGCGCGGGCACTGAGGAGTCTCTGGCCAACTGCAAGTCCCAGGGCTGGCTGCAGAGCAATTGCAAGCACGAGGAGGACGCCGGCGTGATCTGCGCCAACCGTGAGTCCGCGCCCCAGCGCGACCTGCGCCAATCAAGAGCCCTGCCCCGTGCCCGGTGTGCTCTGCGCCAATCAAGAGCCCGCTACGGCGTGCTCTGCGCCAATCATGAGCCCTGATCTGCCCCAGCCCCCGGCGTGCTCTGCGCCAATCATGAGCCCTGCTCCACCCCCGGCGTGCTCTGCGCCAATCAAGAGCCCTCTACGCCGTGCTCTGCGCCAATCATGAGCCTTGGCCTGCCCCCCGCGTGCTCTGCGCCAATCATGAGCCCCCAACGCTCCACCCCCCCCCCATCCCCGTCGTGATCTGCGCCACTCGAAAGGTCCGCTCTGCCCCCAGCGTGATCTGAGCCAATCGTGAGCCCCGCCTCGCCCCGCCCCCAGACGGGGTCCGGAAGACGCGTCCCCGCGGGCCCGGCCGGCTCCCTGCCCCCTGCCCACCCCTCAGCTCCTCCTCGCCAGGCGCCCACAGATCCTCCTGTCGCGGGGCAGCAGGGTCCAGTCTTGTCCGCGCTCACCGGAGAGCGGTGGCCACAGACCCCGGCCTGGAGCACCGGGCGCCTCCTGCCCCGAGATGCGGCAGAGCGCGAGGCCCCGGGCCGGGCACATCTGCAGGCCCAGCAGCACGGCCGTACCGCCCGGTTTAGCCAGAGTCACAGCCACTTGGCACAAGCCCTGTCCCCCGGCACTCGGGCCTGCGGTTGGGGGGGGGCACAGAAGGCAGAGAGTGTCCACACGGGAGGAGTGACGTTGCGGAGGAGCAGGAGACCCCCGCGGGGCCACGGGAGGAGGGGAGGGACAGCGCTGAGGCCTGTAGTTCCGGCGGCCGCGGAAGGAGGGGCTGTCGGGGACTCCAAACTCGGGCGCTGGGGCTGGAGCGATAGCACAGCGGGTAGGGCGTTTGTCTTGCACACGGCCGACTCAGGTTCGATTCCCAGCATCTCATATGGTCTCCTGAGCACTGCCAGGATTAATTCCTGAATGAAGAGCCAGGAGTAACCCCTTTGCATCATTGGGTGTGACCCAAAAAGAAAAAAAACTCAGGGGCACAGCTGGAGAGCACAGAAGGGAGGGTGCTGGCCCTGCTCGGGGCTACCTGGGTTTCATGCCCGGCACCCGCTGTGGTCCCCTGGGTCCCATGGGACAACGAACGAAACTGGGAGCAAGTCCTGAGCACCAGCTGCTTTGTGTGGCCCCCAACTTAAGTTTGGGACTCTGGAGGGAATGAGGTTCAGGCCGCCTGACTCCCGGCGTCAGAACTGATTCCAACCCGTTGGTGTGTTGAAAGCAAACAGAAGAAAGAGGAGGCGGGCTGGGCTGGCTGCTCAGAGCTGTTTGCAGAACAGCCGGGCTGGTGGGTGGGTGCTGGAAAGAGGGACAGGGCGTCTCTGGGCCAGCGCCCCGCAGTTAGCTCAGCAGAGGCGCTAAGGGGGCCGAGAGAGCAGCCGTCAGGCCCTTTGTGCCTTCCAGGCTCAGGGCAGCAGGTCAGCTGGCGGAGACCGATCCAGAAGAAAGACCCAGCAGGCCGCAGTTTAGGGGCCACAACTGGCCCCTAACACCTCTGTGTGCCCCCTCCTCCCCCACTAGGAACCAGCAGCAACCACACCCTTGACCTGTCCAGCGAGCTGCTTGAGGCCCTGGATCTGCTCTTCGACAGCCAGGAGGACTGTGACCTGTCCATCCAGGTGCAGGCGATGCCAGGACAGGAGATGCTGGGCTTCTGTGCCCACAGGCTGGTCCTGGCCACCAACCCTGAGGCCCAGGCGCTGTTGAGTGAGGCAAACAGCACAGTTACCTTGAAGGTGGACAGCGAGTGTCTTCCTGTTGTTAGGGACTTCATCAGGTGAGAGGCGGCCGGATACCACACGGACACCGCACTGCCACCCACCTTATTCGCAAATGTGCTCAGACACCCTCACGCACACATCCTCACACACACCCTCACACATGCCACATACCCATCCTCCCAACTCACACAAATTTTGACATACCTTCATACACCTCACACACACCCTCACACACCCTCACCCTCAACATAACTCTCATGTACCTCACACCCATCCTCACACAACCTTTACCTACCCTCACACATACCCGCATACACCTCACATGCATCTCCATGTACACCCCTACACACCCTCACACACCTGTCACACAACCCTTATACACGTCACACACACCCTCACACCTCACATGCCTCACAACACACACACAGCCTCACAACAGCCTCACAACACCCTCATACCTCATACGTACCTTCACACACATCCTCACACGTATTCTCACACACACTCACACACATCCACATACACCTCATGCATCCCCACACATTTCACACATCCTCAACATACCTCATGTACTCCTCAAACATTCTCACACAGACCCTCTCACACACAACACCCTCACACTTCATACACATTCTCACACACCCTAACATACACCATACACACATAAATACACCTCACATGCATTCTTTTTTTTTTTTTTTTTTGCTTTTTGGGTCTAACCCAGCGATGCTCAGGGGTTACTCCTGGCGGTGCGTGGAGGACCGTATGGGATGCCGGGGATTGAACCCAGGTTGGCCGCATCCAAGGCAAACGCTCTACTCGCTGTGTATTGCTCCGACCCCCTCACATACATTCTTAACATACCTTACACACTCCTCACACATCCTCACACAGACCCTCACACACACCTCACACACACCTCATACACACCTTCACACACATCCTCACATGCCCTCATATACACCCTCATATCTTCACACACTCTCATACACCTCCTCACTCACATACTTAAATACACCTCACACACATCCTCACCCGCACCTTCACACACATCCTCACACATATGCTTACACACACACACATATCCTTACAGCTTCACACACTCCTCACACACCCTCACATACACCATACACACATAAGTACACCTCATACACATTCTTAGAATACCTCACACACTCCTCACACATCCTCACACACCCTCACACACACCCTCACACAACCCTCACATACCACCACACACTGCCTCACACACATCTCACACACTCCCTCATGCATATTTCACACACATCCTCACACGTACCCTCATGTACACCCTCACACCTTCACAAAGAGCCTCACACATGCTGTCACGCACATTCTTACACCCTCACATACCCCCTCACACACATCCTTACACACATCTTCACATATAACCTCACACAGATTCTGACACAACTCTCACACACATAACACATATCCTCACGCCTCATGTACATCCTCATGCATGCACACTCTCGTACTCACCCTTCTGCAACACACCCTCATACACACACCGTTATACACATATGCTTACAGACATTTGTACGCATACCCCCTGATGGACACACACACACATGTACAGACGCCCTCATGTATATCCTATATCTATGATCACCCTTGTGCACACTGACCCTTGTGGACACACACTCAGACCCATCCTAGACTTGTGCACATGCTCACACCTGTGCACACTCCCACTCAGGCACTCATGCCTGCACACACAACCAGAACCCCTGTCCACATGCATACTCCCAGGAGCACTCCCAAGTTGGGTGACCCTGCACACATGTGCACAGAGCCAGAACCCCTGTCCACATGCATAATCCCAGGAACACTCCCAAGTTGGGTGACCCCCACGACGTGCTCCCTCACGCAATCACACCTCCACGCACCTGCATCCACACACCTACACTCATAGACACCCACTGTGCACCCGCACTCACACAGACACACAGAACACACCCGCACTCACGCAGACACACAGAATATACCCGCACTCACGCAGACACACAGAACACACCCGCACTCACGCAGACACACAGAACACACCCTCACTCACGCAGACACACAGAACACACCCGCACTCACGCAGACACACAGAACACACCCTCACTCACGCAGACACACAGAACACACCCGCACTCAACGCAGACACACAGAACACACCCGCACTCACGCAGACACACAGAACACACCCTCACTCACGCAGACACACAGAACACACCCGCACTCACGCAGACACACAGAACACACCCGCACTCACGCAGACTCACACCCCGCATCCGCACTCTCACACACACACACCGTGCACCCGTACTCAGGCTCCTACGCCGCCCAGCCCGGTGTGAGAGTAGCATAAGCACCCCACACTGCCCCGGGGCCCCAGAGAGCCCTCGACCAGGAGCCTGCTTTGGGGAGACTGCTGGGGTGAAGTTCTGAGAGTGCCACCATGTACCTGGCATGGGAGGCTGGGGGGGTTCAATTCTGCACTCTGGCCCCATGGGGACGGAGTTTGTGCCCCCAACGGGCCCTGCTCCTGCCCGCGCACCAGCACACCACGCAGGCCCCCACCGTGTCCCGTCCCGCTCTGGGCGCTCACATGAGACCGGGCACTCCGCCCTCCTAGCTCAGAGTCTCCCCTAGACGCCTACAGGACCCCTCACCTGGCCACGTCCCGGGCCATGCTCTCTCCTCTCCCGCTCTGCCCCCTTGGCCACATCTGCACCTGGCCATGGGCCCTGACTTGTGACACATTGAAGAGGGGTCACTCGCTGCCCCTTGCCAAGCCCAGAGGCTGCTCTCCCCCACCCACAGCACCGTGCTGTGAGCAGGCACCCCAGACTCGGGGGATTCTGTGCCTAGGACCGCCTTCTGCCAGGATGCAGTACACCCAGTCCCCCTCCCCCGGTCAGTATGAGGCCCCATAGCTGGGATGTGACTCAGTTCTTTTCTTCTACATGTCCCCTCCTGACAGGCGGGGGTCTGGGCACAGGGACCCCGGTCCCCACCCCTTGCAGGGCCCCTCCGTGGGGAATGAGCCCCTCAGGGCAGTTTCACAGAGCCTAGCACCAGCCCTCCACCCTCACCCGTGCCCTCTGGCGGCCCCGAGGGGCAGCACTGAGGTGTGACAGTGACTGACCAGCTGTTCTCCTCAGCCTGGGGTCAGCTGGACAGAACAGAGGGTGGATGCCAGTCCCCCCGGGCTCACACTTGGCATGAAGCAGCTGGGGCAGTGCCCCGGCCTGAGGACACAGGACAGGTGCTGAGGGCCAGGGGACCCACAGCCCCACCCCCCTCAGAGACACGAGGATGCAGAGACAGAGTGGGCAAGGCAGGACAGAGGCGCGTCAGACATGCCTGACCAGTTGTGGCTGAGAGTGGAGCCTCCTCACACGCAGGCCGACCCCGGGGGACTGAACAGCTGCAGGACCACCGCCGCCCCAGGGGTGGGCTGGGGGCACATGCGTGCCTGCTGCTGTCTCCCCAGGTACCTGTACTCACGACGGCTGGATGTGTCCATGGCCACTGTGAAGTGCTTCCACAAGCTGGCGTCCGCCTACCAGGCACCGCGGCTGCAGGAGCACTGTGGGCGCCTCTTCGCCGTCGTCCTGCCTGAGGACCCATCCTTCCAGACCACGCTGGACCTCTATGCCTACGGCCTATCCTCGCAGGACCCCGTGCTGGAGGACCTCTGCGTGCGGTTCCTGGCCTGGAACTTCCAGAGCCTGATGGAGTCCGAGGCCTGGCCTCACGTGCCGGTCACGCTGCTCCAGGCCTTGCTGTCCAGGAGCGAGCTGGCTGTGTCCAGCGAGCTGGCCCTGCTGAAGGCGCTGGACGCCTGGAGCCAGGCACAGCGCGCCCCCTCCTGGCAGACGGCGGAGCTGCTGGCCCAGGTGCGCTTCCCCATGCTGCAGCCGCAGGAGCTCTTCGAGCTGCGGTTCAGCTTGGCGCTGTACCCGCGCCACGAGGAGCTGTTTCAGGCCAGGATGTTGCAGGCCCTGGAGTTCCATACGGTATCCCACGGGCTGCTGATCCAGTACCGCGGCCTCAACCTCACTGAGGACGCTTACCGGCCCCGGCTGTACACTGCGGCCCCCTGGGGCACCTTCCTCAATGACACAGGCCGGGACAGGTCCCCCTGGGAGAGGAGAAGCTACTACAACTACCACACCCACCCCTACTCCCGCTCCCAGTCCTTCCAGACCCCCCAGCACCCCAGCTTCCTCTTCCAGGCCCGGAGCCTCTCCTGGGCCCTCTACGAGCTCCACTCCCTGGACAGGTGCCGGAACCAGGGCTTCTCCTGCACCTCCGCAGAGCTGCCGGCCCTGGGGCTCTACCGCTCCGGCTCCCCGGCCCCCGGCATCACCTATGACAACAAAGCCCTGATGCTGTGTGGTGGGCAGCTCGTGGTCCACGTGTCCGACTTCCGCGGCCAGATGGCCCCCATCCCCGACGCCCAGGGCACCAGCGCGTCCAAGCGCGCCTCCTTCCCCTGCCCAGCGGGCCGTTTCAGCGCCTTCCACGTGGTCATCCGCCCCTTCTACCTCACCAACGCCACCGACCTGTGCTAGACATATCTGGGGGTGGGTGGGTTGGGCGGAGCCTCTTCCTCTCTGTAGCCGACCGCCGGGTGCCCCCTGCTTGCCCTGCTTTCTCCGAGCTTAAGGAAATTAGTGCAAAGATAGGCCACGGGGTGAGGCAGTCCCAGTTGTATCCCCAGTGACCCATCGGGTCCCCTAAGCACTTCCAGGAGTGATCCCTGAGCATGCCCAGTGTGCCCCCCAAAGAAAGAAATTACTGGAAGGTTTCAGTAAGTGCTGAAGGGGTTGGTGCGTTCCCAGCATCCGGACCCCTCGGGACCCTGGGGGCGCAGCTCCGAGCCCTCCCCCCCCCATCCTCATCCTGCCATTAAAGCGCTTGCCAGGCTTCCATGTTTTCTCCTTTCTCAGCCGGCTTTGGTGCTGGCTGCGTGGGCCCTGGGGGTCCAAGGGAACAAGTCCATCCTGTTCCTTGTCAGTAACGGAGAGGAGTGCTGGGCAGGTCAGGGAGGGCAGTGCAGGAGGAGCCCTGGACGGGGCTGGACGGCAAAATGAAGCACGAGAAGGAGAAAGCTGACGTGGCAGAGGCCGGAGGGTCCCTTTGCCCAGGACAGCTCTGACAGCTGGCCACGGACTGAGGCAGCCTCAGCGGAGAAGAATGTGCTAGGAAGATAGTAACAGATAGCCTTGGGCACCTTGTGAAGGCGGGTCCTCGGGACATCCTGCTCAATCCCCCACCGACCGTTTCTGCGCTACTGTGGCCAGGGGCTGCATAGCCTTTAAGCTGTTCCGCTTCCTGCGGTCACACCAGCCCGGGGGCAGCGTCCAGGGGCCCAGCTCAGCCTCACACCTGTGGCTCCCAGAAATGGGAACAAAGTAGCAAAGGAGGAAAAGCTCCCGGCAGGGGTTCATTCTGGCAGCGCTGCTGCACTCTTGCAGCGGGAGCATGCTCTGTGCTGGGATGCTGGTTCAGACACGAGCTGCCCTGTCTCCCAGCCTGAACAGGGGAGCAGTGTCTGGCCTGAGCTGGAGGGCATGGTAGCCCCAGTGTCCACTCCCACTCTTTCCAGTTGCCCTTAGGTTTGGGCCCCAAGGCCTTGGGCACAGCCTCCCCACACTTGGGAGGCACCGTTCAGCCTCAGGATCTTGGGGGTCTCTGACCCACCCAAAGGACCTAAGGGGCTCTCCTAGAGATCAGTGCCTCAGGGCAGAGCTGTCTGGGTCTCCAGGGTGGCAGGATCTGAGTAGCAGAGTGGCACATAGGAAAGAGCCATAGCCCAGCAGTGTGGCCGCTTGCCTTGCACATGACTGGCCCGGGTTTGATCCCCAGCACTGCAAATGATGCCCTGACCCCACCAGGAGTGTTCCCTGAGCACCACTGGGTATAGCCACCAAATTAAAAGTTTTTTAAGTTGGCACATGCCCCCCCAACCCTCCCACATCGGGGCACCTGGCCTGAAGCTTTCTCCTCATACCAAGGGCTCTGTGCCACCAGGCGTCCTGTTCTCTGCCCCCTGAGGACACACAACTGCACAACTCTTAGCAACAGAGACGGGAGCAAAGCCAGATCTCTGATGGTAGCACCTGTACTAGATATTTTTAGCCTCAGCTTCTTGGAATGAACATGCTAAGTAGCTGCTTAACTTCCCTCGTAGGGAAGAGGAAAGGCAGTCTTCCCGGGGGGAGCCTTCTTTCAAGGTTACCTCTGGGCCCAGAACAGCTGCTGGCATTCCAATCATCACTCCTGCCTCACGGGAAACAGGAAGGAGATGGCAGGAAAGGACCAAGGTATCTGGGTCATGGTTCCTTGTAAGATTTGGCTCCAGGGGCTGGAGCAATAGCACAGCGGATAGGGTGTTTGCCTTGCATGCGGCCGACCCGGGTTCAACTCCCAGCATCCCACATGGTCCCCTGAGCACCGCCAGGAGTAACTCCTGAGTGCAGAGCCAGGAGTAACCCCTGTGTATCGCCGACTGTGACCCAAAAACAAACAAAAAACAAAAAAAAAAAAACAAAAAAAAAACAAGATTTGGCTCCAGAGGCACCTGGCTGGCGTTAGTCCCCTTGGAAGCAGCAGCCCTGAACCTGACGTCCTTTTATTCATCATTCCCAGCAAGGGAGGCCCCCACGCTTGGCGCACAATGGGCACTTGATTCCAGGTGCCCTTGGGCAGTGGGTACCCCATGCCACGAGCCAGAGGGACTCAGCTAAGTGAGTTAGCAGCGTGGGACGAACGTGAGGTGTTCTGTGCAGAGGTGGAGGCTGGCGGGGGGCTGGGGGAGTGCAGAGCTCAGCTCCCTTTAACTTGTGTCTCTGAGATACTGGGCACTTCCCTCAACACTGAAACGTGCCTGTGCTCTTCCTGCTCACACCACGCACCTGGGCCCCTGCGACAGTCCCGCTAAAGAGGTGCTCTGTGGCTGCGCCCAGGGCACACCGTTGCTGCCTTTTCTCTGCATGTCCAGTCTCTGAAGTCATAAACGGCGTCCATTTATGACGGGAACCAGAAGCCATCTTTGCCCCATCCCATGTTGGCTTTGCAAACAGCGAAAGCCAACTCTGAGGAACAGCTGGAGCAGAAAAAAAGGCTGCGAAGGAAGCGAGCCAGGACCAAGGAAGCTCAGGTTCTGCTCACAGACCCCCGCTTAGCTGTTCTCTGCTCTGCCCGGGTGTCCGGCGCTTCCTCACTGCAGGGTGGGGTTCATGCAGAGAGCTCAGTGCGGTGCCCACACACTCATTATTAGTGCTCACTCACTGAGCTGTGGCTCTGGGGACCCCAATGGCAGCAGCCACCATGATCATCCTCTGCAGCGGGGGCAGGCGGTATGAGGATGAATCTCAAGGCTCAGGTTTACAAGGCAGATGCCCCTCCCAGGGCCAAACTTCAAGTCCCCACTGGGCACTCGGAAAGCTGGGCGCTGACCATCAGCAGCTTCACCTACCGAGACCTTGCTCTGCTCTGCAGTGCCAACAGGCTTCCCATGCCAGGCTCCCCCTGTCCCAGGGAGAGCTGGACATCCCCTCAGACAGGCCTGGTCACTGTGGCGGTGTTCTGGGAACCAGGAGGCTGGCCAGCCAGGTCCTGGCTTAGAAGTCTTGGGGCCGGAGCTGTAGGACAGTGGGGTGTTTGCCTTTCACGCGGTCAACCCAGTTTGATCCCAGCATCCCATATGGTCCCTTGAGCGCCGCCAGGAGTAATTCCTGAGTGCAGAGCCAGGAGTAACCCCTGAGCATGGCCGGGTGTGCCCCCCCACCAAAAAAAAAAAAAGTCCCCCAGGCTTGAACCCAGGCTTCAGCCCTTTGAGCTATGCAGTGGAACGTGTGTGTGTGTGTGTGTGTGTGTGTGTGTGTGTGTTTTCCAAGCAGATTCTGGCTGTCCAGGCGCCCACCCCGCGTTCTGGTGAGGCAGAGCCTCACCCATTCACGCCCCCACATATGCAAAAGGGCTGCAGCTCAGTCATGTGCTGGCCCCGGGGAGCTGGACAGGAAACGTCCAATGTGGCAGCAGCTGCTCCTATGGAAGAATGTGTCCGAGGCTTTGCCAGGAGCACGTGGTCGCTGCAGCGCCCAGCGGCGCGGAGGAATGCGAGCCTCTGCAGCCCCCCTTCCTCCCGCCCGGCCGCCCAGCCTCTCCATCACCGGGGCTGCGGCAAGGCGGGATGTGGGCGGGGCTTCTGGGGGCGGGGTGGGCGGGCATGGGCGGGGATTCTGGTGAGGGGAGGGGCCGGGCGGGCCCTGCTGGGCGGCAGGGCGGGGTGAGTGGGTTCCAGTCGCAGCCAGGCTTGGCCCTCAGCTGCAGAGAAGGAAGGGAGCGGCTTCCTCAGCTGGCCAGGCCAAGGCCAGTGGGCTGGGGGAGGAGAGAGCCTGTTTGGGAGGCTGCAGACTTCAGGCATGAGGGGCATCGAGGCATTGCCCAGCACCGGAGTACCCGCACCTTAGTGTCGGAATATAGTGAGGGACAGAAGGCATTGTCACCAGGATACTTCTGCTTGTATGTGCGTATATGGTTATGAAGCAGGTTATTTCTGATATCAGGAAAGAGCTTCCAATGAAGGCTGTAATTCGCCTCATTTGGCTTCTTCATTCGCACATGTGCCAGGGCCGGCTAATATCATTTCAGACTCAGCTTATGTGGTTGACCTCTCCCCTGGTATTGTGACTGCGTTTCTAAATGCATCAAATGCTTCAAATGCAACAATTGCTTCAGCAGCAACAGACTCTTTTACAAAAGTGCTCTGAAGCTGTTTTTAATTACTCATATCAGATTTCATTCTGGTCCTCCTGAACCTATGACTTGGGCACAGTTTAAAAAAAAATGGAGGTATGTTCCCATTTGACTCCTTGTCTTTGACATTATTCTCTTTAAACTTTTAAATTTACCTCAAGGAGGGCCATATACAGCAGCTGAAAGGCATTTTCAGGAAGGTGCGCAGGCTCAGGAAACTATTAATTCTCTTATTTGGATTAAAGTTGACAAAGAATGGGTAGCAGGGAAACTCCTCATTTGAGGAAAAGTGATGTTTTTCTTTCAACAGATAACCCACCAAGAAATTTTGGGTCCCATTACATCTCGTCAGGAGTCAAATTCATCTGCCTGATTTAACTCTCAGAGACTCACACCCTCTGAATTTCAGCCTCAAGCTATCGCTAAGCTGATTTCGGCTGGAAGTCACAAGGAAATCAGAGGGAAGCCTGCATCAGCGGACCCGCCGCAAAGGCTTCCAACCCCTTTAACATATCATGAGGTCACGTTAAGAGCATTCCTTAGACCCTTCTTTGACAGGTTGTGGACAATGCCAGGACCCCATCTTTTGGATTAAAAATTTCTTACTTTTACACTCTCCTTGGCCTCAAATTCACAGGTGCCTCAGTTCCCGAAGGAGGAAGGAATGACTTTTAATAAGAACACTTTTTTTTTCTTTTTAGGTCACACCTGGCGATGTACAGGGGTTACTCATGGCTCTGCACTCAGGAGTTACTCCTTGTGGTGCTCAGGGGACCATATGGGATTCTGGGAATCAAACCCAGGTCGG